CCAAAAATTCATTTGGAACAAGAGACCTAGAATAGCAAAGGCAACTTTAGGCAACAAAGACAAAGCAAGGGGGTATCACAACCCCCAACTCAAACTATACTTGAAAGTTACTCTGATAAAAACAGCATGGTACTGGCAAAGAAAGAAACCTGAGGATCAGTGGAACAGATTATAAGATACAGAAACAACTCCAGACACACTCAGCCACCTCATCTTTGACAAGGGAGCAACCATCCTCACGGGAGGAAAGATGGCCTCTTTAATAAATGGTGCTGAAAAAACTGAGTTTTAACTTGCCAAAAATTAAAACTGGACCTATATCTCTCACCATGCACTAAACCAAAGTCAAAATGTGTCAGAAGTCTAAATATTAAAACAGAAACACTAAACCTGCTAGAAGATATGCTGAGTAGAGCTCTTGAAGACACTAGCATAGGAAAAGATTTCATGGACAAAATCTCAGTTACACATGAACTAGCACAAAGAATCAGCACCTGGGATCTCACCTAATTAAAAAGCTTTGGCACAGCAAGAGAAACCAGCAACAGTGAGAAGAGACAACTATAATGTGGGAAATATTTTTTACCAGCTGTTCCTTGGAATAAGGACTACTATCTAGGATACATAAAGAACTTAAAAAACAGATCCCCAAATTGAAAGACCCAATCCAAAAATGGGCATCTGAAGTGAACAGACATTTCTTGGACAAAGAAATAGAAACAGCAAATAAACATATAAAAAATGTTCAACATCACCGGTCATTCAAGAGATGCAGATAAAAACATTGCTGAGATTCCATCTCACTGAAGAAATAATGGCTGCTATCATGAAATCAAGCAATAACAAATGCTGGGGGAGGGGGACCGTGAAGAAAAAGGAAGGCTTCTCCACTGTTGGTGGGAGTGTAGACTGGTGCAACCACTGTGGAAATCAGTGTGGAGATTCCTAAGGAAAGAAAATAGAAATTCCATTTGACACAGCTTTTCCCTTCTGGGTATGTTCCCAAAAGGATTAAAAGCATCATACCACAGTGAAATTCATGTTTATAGCAGCACAGTTTGTAATACCTAAATATTAGAAACGGACCAAATACCATTAATTAGTGACTGGATAAAAAAAAAGGGGTTTTTTTTTTGTTTTGTTTTTTTAATAAAATGGAGTACTACTCGGCCATAAGGAGAGATAAACTAGAGACATTTATAGCTGAATGGATGCACCTTGAGATCTTACTCTTAAGTGAAACAAATTAGATGCCCATATGTAAATACCAAATTGTTTCTTTGGTGTGAAAAACTGAAAGTGTAAATGAGGACCAAAATGTATGGTAGATATTGTGAAATAGGAAGAAAAGATGCAAAGGAGAAAGGGAAACTGGGGCTCAGATGAAAGGACAGAAGGGAAAGAACAAATTTGAGAAAAGAAGGAGAAGGGAAGAAAGTCTTTATACATAGAGAGAGGTGGAAGAGGGAGAAGGGGAGAGGGAAAATATTAAGAACCAAGATCTGTCACGTGCAGGTGCACATTCCAAATGATGACTATGATCCTAACCATACCTAAAACGTACAAATACACTTAAGTAATAATAATAATAAAGAGAAAGTGAGAGGAGGAAGAGAGCCACGGAACCTCCTCTGGGTGTGGGCTGCTGCTAGCAGGCACACTCACTGATTCCTCCTCAGGGAGAGAAGCCCTCCGTCCCAGCTCTCAGGATTGTTAGGAGTTTCCATCTGTTTTCACTGTCATTGTGTGGATTTCCTTGAACATTTAGGAGATAATCCACCAGAGGCTGTCAGCGAGGTGATATTTTAATTGGAAAATTATGCATTTATAATTTAATACCAAACAGTTTTCAGTGTGGAGGCTTCACCTAAGTTCGCAGGCTCTCTGGAATAAAAAGGAGTCCTTGTTCTTGCCTCAATCACCTATTGGCTCCTGCTGGTCACTCTGCTGCATGGGTCTGGGCTTCCTGATAAAGACCTGCATGTAAAGGGCAGGAGTTTTTCTTATAAATCTTATCTAGTTTTGGAGAGATCTTGACGTGAAATCCTATTATTTTTAACCACCAGACCATGAAGATCCTCATCATGAAAATTTCTAGGTGATGTCATTATTTCTACTACATTCTTAGACTAAAAGGGCTGGAGCCCTGTAGTGATCCTATAGCAAGAGCTGGGTCACAGAGTTTCACTCCACGCCTTAAACTACTAGTGAGCAAAGTCCTAACTTGTCATCAGATGCCCATCTGAAATCAGATGGGGTCTGGGCACAGCCTTGAGAACAAATTGAGGATCACTGAACACTTTCATCTTCCTCCTTCTTCATCCTTGGCCTACCTAGCACATAAGTTAAGTTCTTTTTGGCCAGGGAAAAGAGGTTAGCTCTAGTTTCCTTAGGTGGTCCATGTCACCATGCCAGGGACCCTGGACATCACAGTCAGATGCCAATCTTTATCGCAGGCCTGACATCAACCCACTGGCTTTCCCTTGGCCACTGCCACTGCAGCCATTCTGCTGCCAAGATGGATGTGAAATTCTTGAAGAGGCTCTTCAGCTGTAGCTTGAGAAGCACAGGATACCCTTCATGGGCATCTCCAAAGTAGCATTCTAGAAATTTCTATGTCCTGGCCCCTGAGGCTTTATACCAGCTTGGGGCAGGAGTATTCAGAGTCCCTTTATTCCTTCATACAGATGCTGGCAAATTCTCCTCCCTGTGCCACACCCTACTTTACATATGCATCCTCCCTTACTCTGTGCTTGATTTTAGAAACTCATCGTCTCATCCTGGCATGTTATGATCATACCAAGCAGTTTCAGAGTTCAGAGAAAACAAATAAACAATAAAGGCCTCAAGCATATGGCTCTAGCAAAACAAAACTGCTTTACATTTAGACTTTGTGCCTGCTGTAAACTCAAAAATCCATTCTGAAATATAATCAGCTCCCCTGAAGCAACTGTTATATTGATGGAACAGAATTTTAAGACAAATAAAACCAGCTATTAGAGTGTATGAATATTAGAAGCAGAAACCCCATTCCTCAAGGGCTTTTTCATTATTTTGAATGAACTATTTTGAATTGTAGAAATGGAAAATGGGCTAAAATTCAAAAATACGCTTTCAATTTTAGATTGTCTTAATCTTAGGCCTCACACAAGGATACCTCAATATTTTAAAACTATCTCCTTCAGATCATACCTTGTAATATGAGAAACCACAAGCAGTACTTTGGGCTCTAAGGACAAAAGTAGCTATTTTAGCTTCTGAAGTTGTAAAAACACAGACAAGGAGTTCAAGCCATGCACAGACATGGCTGGAGGTTGTCTAGCATAGCCTTGTGTGATCTGATGCTGTCTGCTGATCAAGCAGGTTCTACCATCTTTCGTTACTGTGGAGATTGCCAAATGGCAGGGGGCAGCCTGACACAGTGCCCTTCTGGAGCTAAATCAAATGCTCCAGAATAAAACATTAGGAAAGCCGGTGAGTTCTCCTCATGGAGAAACAGACTTAATCCAGAGGAGGCACAGGGAGGATGGGGAAGCAACTTTCAGCAGTTATACACCAGACAGCTAAATGCGAGCTGACAGTCACAAACACACTGACCACTTCACACACCAGCACTTCAAGCACTGATCACAGGAGCCTAGAAATCCTCCATCTCATAAAGCACAAACCAGCCCTAATTGGAGGCACAAATAAAATGCCCCAGGAAAAGGCTGTCACCATTTCCTTTTCAAATCATACGTTACCCTAGTTTCCAGGAAAAGTACGTCTACACACTTATTGCCCCTTGAAAAAGCCAAGGTCCTGGTCTTTGAGAATCTCACTTGAGGATGTAAAAAAATTTCCAACCATTCAGACTTCTGGAACCCGGGGGTGAAAGCTGCCATGAATGGATGCCTTGCTCAGAGGTCAGACCATTTGAGCGTGAGCTGGCTGGAGCTATGAAAAGAACCCCATCTTATTGTGATAAAGCACATTCTGGCAAAGCCACAGAAAAGAAAATTACACCAATCAATACAGATCAAAATGAAACCCAGATGAAGATTTCAGCCAAATCCGTCTTTGATTCTGCTATAACAGATTAACTTTGGGGGACTAAAATCAGCACAATTTGCAGATTCAGGAGATTGAATATAGGAGCCAAAATCAAGCCACAATTTAATTGAAACTATAGCCTGATCCTTGATATTCCCAGGGGTTACTGCTACCTCCTACACATCACAATGCCTTCTGCAGTTGTGTCTGAAAAGTGGTCTTCATCCTGTCAAGTGACTCAGTACTTTGATTTTATATAACTTCTCTCAACATGCTTAACAGAATGTCTGTAGACATAATGAACGGGTTTTGAAACAAATCGCAACAAAGCTTCTTGTAAAGAATTCTATTAGGGGGCTGGCGATTTAGCTCAGTGGTTCTGCTGCCTGCCTCTCAAGCACAAGGACCGGAGTTCAATCCCAGTACCAAAAAAAAAAAAAAA